CTCGAAAATCATCCTGGTTTTCTTTATGAAATAAACAAACCATGTGGCAATTTAACAGGTGATTAAAAAAGGTACGATACTTACCTAAATAAAACTTGGTATCAACTATCAACAAAATATGGTTAATAATAAGTACGAAAAAATCGACGAAAATGCAATATATCTGCACTTCATATAAATAACATATATTTGTCAAACACAGTTCCGAAAACATCCTTCACAAAGAAGTGAGTTTGTAGTGCCAAAATATGAAACAAACTATGTTACTCATATGAAAACGGTGTATATGTTAGTGAGTTATCATAAAAGACATCGCACAAAAAGATGAACCAAATATAGTATGACGACAGACAGTATTATTTGTGCAGCATCTCCTAAAGCGGCTGAGTAATTTTTTTTGACGGGTGCACTTGGCAGGAGGACAGAGAGTAAAACACGCATTTAAGATACCAGGCTGATAAATTTGTACTCCAGACGCGTACTCATCAGTGACGCTAAAAGGTCAAATTAGATACGATGTTGAAGAGCATTAGAAAATTTGTGGCAAATAAGACTAAGGCAATATACACTTGGTGTAGAATAACCTCAGTGTTTCTAATAATTCAACATTTTATAAACAGTTAAATTACAGAAAAATAAACATATCATTGATATTTCATATCAACACAAAAATGCTGACTACTGGGCTGTTGATAGCCTCGGGGTCGAAACTTCCATCAGCAGTGGCATCGACCCAGTGGTTGTAAAAACTCGTCAAAGATTCCAGGCTAATAGTTTAGTATTCCAGACGCGTGTTTCGTCTATTTAAGACTCGAATTAGGCGAAGGGTTTCACATTTCATTATGTCTTAAATTGAGGAAAAAAAACAACAATATAAAGTCCAAACTATATCATATCGTAGGAATTATATTGGAATGAAAATACGGATATTTTTTTATTTAGATTTGCCGTTATAAATTTCTCCCTTATGCTTGGCATCATAGCACTTATTCATTTCCGGGATATGCATTACTTTTTTTCTTTTTTTGGTTATACGTTTAGGTAAGGTTCTGGATTTTAAAATATTTTGGCCCCGAGCATCACTGAAGAGACAATAATTGTCGAACTGTGTATCTGGTGCTACAAAATTGGTATTATTGATGTTATATTCCGTGAAAATGTTATTTAAAATTTGAAGGCGAAAATGTTTGCGCTTTGCATCTGCACCACGAGAAAACATATGCACTCCAAACAATATGAACATATTCCAAACAATATGAACATATTTTTTCATAAAAAGAAAGATCGGGTTCGCTTTTATTCCCAAAATTGTACAAAGGTACAGTCTACCCTAACATCTGTTATAAAAAAACCAGGATTTATAATAGATGTTAGGGTAGACTGTAAATTTTTTACGTTTTTTAATATGAAATAGTATAAAGTTTAACAGTAAAGACAATAGATGCAAACCTTCCCGGCTTTTTAAACTGCTTCAAAAGTCTGCCAAGGAATTATTGTTAATTGCGTAACCTCTACTCAAGTGGCAATCATTTATATCAAGGGTATGTAAGGGCTTGACGGTCATACATGTGAACAATAAATTAACACCAACCGCTTCCGAACAATTACTACCAGACATAAACACAAACCAATGTAGATTGTACTTGTACATGTAGTTGATGTTATAATTCTTTAAGAGTTGTCCATTACTAAGTATGAAAAATCAACCACAAAGAATTAATTTTGTAACATTTTTCCCTCACTATATATTAACTTAAACTTAACAACAATCAAAACATCTCAAGCACCACTTTATTTTTGTCACAAAAATATATATCCATACTGGTTACAATCTATGTGATGTTCATAACAAATAACATACAATAAACATCTCATTAACATAACAAATACATAATTACAAGAATATGCAGACAATATAAAATATTGATCTAGTGATAGGCTTACTGCTTTGGACTTAAAATTCAAAAGCTAACAAAACTCTTTTGGCGATGTTTGATCAGATGCACTTAATGTTGTATTCAAAGGTAGCAACATTATTCGCTAAAATTAATTTTGACTTCCAAAACATTTCGTCTGGTGTTTACCTGAAGTGTACTAAAATCGGTCATATGCATTTATAATGATTTAATTCAAAAACATACATGGAATTCCTAAAGTGTATCATATGAATTAACCCTTCCGGATCACTCTAATTCACCCGTATTTTTAGTGGGGTTCGTGTTGCTAAATCTTTAGTTTTCTATGTAGTTGCAGTTGTAAATCGCTTTTCTAAATAGACGAAATTTATTGTAACATGGTAAATTTCGGTAATTATGGAGGACATGACAACACGCAAAAATAAAACAGTTACTTAGTAATTTTATTATTTCTGCTTCCGTTTGTTATGAAAAAACCTGAACAGCAATACTATTTAAAAATGATCCTGTTTATTAAAAATATATAGAGATTTGACATCATAATTCAACTTATAATTCTGTTTGTGCAGGAGTTTACGTTCCAAGATGCTGTTTCGTCTTCCTATATTCTTCACCCGTATGTACTTCTATATTGCTCTGAATACGGTTTTATCCTATTTTCACTGTTTAAGGTGTTAACCTTTTTTCAAATATCATTGCTTTTAAAAAAATGGGTTGCATGTTTTTCAGATTTTGGATACCATCAAATCATAAAAATGATGTGAGGATTTCTAGTTTTTTTGCAAGCTTTGCAAATGTATTGTCTTCTTATGTATTTCTTCCCATTTCTTTCTTCTTTATAACTATTACCATTACGACCCGTTTTACCCATAAAATTTAATTGTTGTCTTCTCTGAAATCTTTGTGTCAAAGAGTAATATACCTGTACTTACATTGGAAATAAAAAAACGAAACGTGCTTCATATTTATGACCATTTTGATGAACCTTTTAAAATGTGTTTGGCACCGTTTGCAACTACTAGTAAATTGCGAAGATTTTGACAGACTTTTCTTCGTCTTTGTGTAACCATTTGCCAGTCTAGTATTATAGCCCCCGGAAACTACAAGTCCTGCACAAGCAGAATAAAGTATGATTTAAGGCTGCTTAGACACGGAATGTATATTTACAAATTAATTTTAAATCGGGTTTAAATAGTCAAGGTCGCTATATGAATGAAGGAACTATAATTTGTATGAACCGTATAGATTTATTTAAGTTTTCCCAATTTAGTCTAGATAAAGTTTTATCATTTACTTTGCTAATTATATATTGAGTTTTAAGGTCAAAGTTAAGGAATAGAGATAAAAACAGTGTTTCTGGAATAAGCACTATCGTAAATGCTCAAGACCATAAGTAACGAAAGATCAATATCAATTGATCAAATTACTTAAACAAATTTTACGTGGTTGGATTGCAAGAGTATCATCAATTTTCCTGTGAAACTGTCAGTGCATCTCAATGCATGGTGATATAAAAAGAAAGAATATGGACTATTTAATACAATTGTAAATATTGACATAAATTAACTTGAATTTTCAACGTACATGTATATGTTTACTGTGAACATTTTTTTTAATATAAAAGAATAGGAGTTTTGGATCATTTCCTTCATTTAAAATTAATCCACCTACATTTCAAACATATTTCTAGCGTATATAAATTCCTTTTATAGCACTACATTGAATTTTATACATACATGTAGAAAAAAATACAATGATAAATATTCCCAAAGGACTTGAATATTATTCGTTTTTTATCTGTCATTTATGCATATGTAATACGATTTAGGGAAAACAAACTCTTATTTACAAGAAAGTAGGAAATAAAGTCCACAGAAAATGAAAAAAAAGTATGGTAATATATCATATTGTATCGATAAAGTAATAATGTTTAGAGACTTCAATTGATTTACAATTATACAGGTTCATTTCAAATTAAATAAAAAGAAACGAAAAATACTGCATAAGTCACGTGACTTTCAACATATACTATCTATTTCTTTTTTTGCAGCCAAAATCAAAGTAAGAAAAGTATTAATTCGTCGATTTTGTTGCAAATGAGTGTGACTTAATTTTATGATAAGTCAACAGTTTGTAGCTGTACAATTGTCTGCAGCGTTTGAACTGGTACTACAGAATGATTAAACTGTAGAACACAACAAACTTATACGGCAAAAAGATTGATTAGTATTACAAGTACGACTGATATATTTCCTCAATCAACAGTTACATTTACGCTAGAAAACACCCAATTTCAATACTTCAATAAAACGTAAGGTTCTTTCAATCCCTAAAACAAAAAAGAGAAAGGTTAAACAGGAAGCTACTTCTTACTGAAACCACCGTTGTCATACTATGGATACTTTGATTGCAATGTTTAAGATATTATTACAATAAAGAATTTAAATTTATGATATTCCTTCGTCAATGTTTAAATCAAAAAGAGCAATTTTCAAAATATTAAGTAGATGAGAAGACCTCATTCACAATAAAAAGCATGTGAAAGGTTAGTTTTGAAAATGTTTAAAACTTAAAGTGTATTTTGGATTATTATTTGGTTAAAGTAAGATAAAAAAAAATGTTTCCTCATGAATATGAACCACCACTACCTTTAAAAAGGAGAACAGTCAATTGTAAGACAAATTGGATCCTCTGGTTTTTTAGAAAAAAAGGTGTGTTATCATTACTGATCTCCTTTTAAAAAAAAATGAATAAAGTCTTAAGTAGATAACATTTTTAGATTTAACTTGCCGACTCCATTAGATTAATTTTTCACAAGAGTTTCTCCGACTTTAAGTCAAATGAAACAAGTTTCTTGTAATTTTAATGACAAGAAAATGAATGAACAAAAACATGCATACACTAAACGAAGTCCTTTGTGCAATTTTGTTTACATGTATTACGAATCTATAACGTACTATCGATAAATAATTTTTCAGTGATTGTTGATCGCAGGCTTGTTGCCGACGTTTACCGGATCGTGACATAGATAAACAATCAACACAGAATCATGGAGCAGTACATAATAAGAGAATTTATCCGAAGTTCTAACGAGAGGTCTCGTTGTTAAGATCACTGCATATCGATAGGATAAACCGAAGAAAAATTTTAGGTGCGATTATTTCAACTCCATTCAAGCTATCAGTGAATTCCCTTTACAGTTTATGCAAAACTACAGTCAAAATAGAGTTTCCTTTTTTTCATTTATCAAACTGCGATAATATGAGGTATGTTTTATACAAATGAGAAACTTCCTTTATACAAGACATTTAATATATACGTTAAGTGACTATTACGTACGTTTTGGGCCACTACTTTCACAAAAAAATAAGCTACTACAATATATATCTTATGAAAGTATAAAACTACAAAACACATTTTGAACACCACATATTCACATTTTGGTAATATACAAACAAGATTAAAATTCATTTGTTCTTGAACCTTTCTATCTTTTACAAAAGATTAAATCTATTTTTATAATGCATTCGTATGATGTTGTAAATAATTGTTGCATACAAATTCTAAAATGTTATTAAAGTACAAGTGTGGCATGTCTAGTAATTAACAAATTTGAAATATATTGCAAAATTCAAGAAAATACAACAAAAGAATAAGAATGTCACGGCAGTGAAAACCATTTTAGCTCAGAGTTACGATTTATGAGTTCGTATTAACTGTATCTTAACCAGCACACATTTTATTGGTTTTGATGCTAATATAAGGATCTAACTAGATATCATTCACAGCAGATTAATTATCAAATGCAGGAGTATCTTCACTAAATATTGTTTTCAATTAAGTGGTATACCTTTCATGGTGTGTCAAATGAATTTTTAGGAAAAGTTTGATGTCTGTTCAACGCGACGTTACTCAATTATCTCATTTCTTAAAATCTTATATATATATATATATATATATATATGTAGGCTGCACACGGAAATTAATTGACATGTTTGATATGAAAATCATGAATGGAGCATTCAGTCTGTAAACTGTTTTCAGTTGGTAAAAAGAAGCAACAATGGTTCACCGATTTTCAAATTCAATTTCAAGGCTGTAAACTGGATATATCAAACTTTCTCCTTCATTACTTATTCTGGCGATAAGAAAATTGTATATAATCATGCTAACCTTGATTTACAAATTTTGATTTATTTGTAACAATAATTGGAATCTAAAGGTTTAGAAAATTATTTTACAAGTAAGTCATTGCGTAAAAACATCCGATGTGGACAGTGTTATCGAATATCTTTTTGAATTTATATGTAAAGAAATTCTTAAAAAAAAAACTTTTTCTTTATTATCTTTTTCTGCCAAAACTATCTTTAACACCCTTTAAATCACATTTAGTTTTCTGTCCTAATGTTATTGGGCTAACGGTAAAATGATATAGCGAATTTAACAATCATCTGTAAGTGTTCCAATTTATCAAATCATTTTATCTTTAATGTTAGATTCGTTTTTGCCATTCGAAGATTCGGATACTAAAGTTTCTAAATCGTGATCGTAATTTTTGATTGTTCAATTAAGGTTTAAATATCAAATAATGATGTTTGTAGCATATGGAAATTTGTATTTCAAGAAACTAAAATTTAATCAAGCTTAAAAAAAATTCTGATCGTACATTTAATTGCAGTAGTCGAAAGTTTTGTTTTTCAGAGAAAACTTTGAACTAATTATTTATTTGTTCAGATTGACACTGATAGATGGCGTCTAAAATTACAACGATAACTTGTGACAAAAACCTTACAAATAGGACATGCGACGAAAAACTTTGCACTTGTGAAGATAGTCAAATTCATTAAGGTCAGTTAAAACGAGTGTAATTAATATATCTTAATTTATTTTATATGGAAAATTCTTTTTTTGGAGTCTAAGGACTAAAATGTAAAAATTAGAAAAAAACAAAAACAAACAAATAACCGTTTCGGACATAATACATTATTAATTGCATGAAGTAACTGCAATTTATCAGACCAGTCAATTTAATGATATCGATTCACATTTTTATGTAGAAAATCACCCTGGTTTAAAAATAATATAAAATATTTAATAATTAGTACCAAATGATTATTGACGATAATGAAAAAAAAGACTTATCGATAACTAGTGACGATAGTTTGACAACAGAATTCACATATGATGTCACCTTGATAACATAATATACACCACACAAGTAATAAGGTGGGAAAACTTGGTAGAAACGTTTATAGCAAGAAAACTATTATCACAATTTATGAACGATCGACAAGCATTCGCAGTTAAACACTTTTTCAGACATGCTTTAACAACAAAACGTGTCGTTTTTTTTCAATTATGATATTATTTCTATATAATCAATATAGAAATTATAAATACTGCACTATACTACACTGTAACCGTACCATCATAATGGAAAAGGCTCACAATTTACTCGGTTGTAATTTGATAACAACATGAATTATAAACTATCATTTTCATACAATTGCGAAAACGACAACCCAGAACATTTTCTATTCCCCACATTTAACCAAGATATTTACATTAAAATGAATTGTTCAGCACATCACAAATTTTTTTTAGATACCAACACTGTCTATCGGGATACATGTGTTGTCATGATATATAAGTTTCATACACAATTAAGAACGAATTTCTTATCCTCATAAACGCTTTTCATTTATTCATTTTTAAATTCTAAAACCTAGAAAATGCATATCTGTTATATTACAAAGACATACCACATATTTTGTGGACATTGCCCAGTAGATTGTATATCCATTTCAGTTATTATGAAATTGAAGTTTATGATTTGTACTTTTTAGAATCGCCATCTCCAAACGATCTTTTGAAATTAACCTTTAAAATGATAATGGTCTCATAGAATCAACAAAACCCAAACATGCTGTACAAAATCATATTAGAACTATGAATTTTCCCCTGTGAAAGGAACCAGGGATTTTTAGAGTCTTGCAATAAATTTGGAATGCCAATACACCAATACGTTCACACGTCAGAAAAATAAGATTTATTCCCATAATGTTGCTTTTCGGTCATCGTGATGGCGTATATATGTCATGATTTTTGACAAAATAGCTAAACATAATCTAAAAAAAAAAACAACTTTCTCATGTGTTCACTGAAATTAATTGTCTTCCAGCAATATGAATACGTCCATGAGTCAGCAACCAATTGGCACACTTAGTTATTATCCAACAATACAGATATATTTTCAACAATGCAAGGTGTTGATATGAAGTTCTATCATTAATATTGAATCTGGACAAGCTTAAACTGACATGTATACTAATGATACTCTATGTAAAAACATCAGTATTTTCATCAGATGTTGATCAGTTTTTTTTTTTTTTTGTGAAATATTTCCTTAAATTCAAATATAATCAAATAATGACAATAAACTTAATTACTTAAAACAAAAATTGAAACTATAAGAACAGAAATAACAGGCCTTATAACCATTAGTCTTTACAATGGAAATATGTCCTCAAATGGGATGGTAAATAATCATAAAAAGAAAACAACTGTAAATTATCCTTTTCCTTTAGATTTAAAAAAAGTTTCTCCCCCCATTCTCTTCGAATAAAATGGATCTAAAAACCTATTAAAATCGACAATAAGTACGGTACCAGAAATTTTTCAATTGCAAATTCACATATTTTACTTTTGCAAATGAATAAAGATTAAATCCCTGTGTGCGTATGAGGCAAAGTTTGCAAGATATATTGATTTAATGTTGACTTTTGGTTGTGTACACATTCACTGATCTATCGAGAGTATTTGATTATCCCGAATTAGATATGGTTACAGCTCTCATCATTCTGGTGACTCTAATTCAGATTCTCTTCCATCTCTGTTTAGGCCTCTTATGTGAACATATTGTATTGTGTTTGTGTTGTAATCTATCGTTGGCCCGGCCGCACCACACCAAGGCCTGGCAAATAACCCTTCAACTTCTTCCAAACTTTTCCCCTTTGTTTCCGGTAGAGTAAAACCAATAATTAAAACGCCAACAAATGCAAGTCCAGCATATAACCAGAATGTACCTAAATTAAAAAAAAACCTTTAAATTGGTACATGCATTGCTGTTTTATACCTTTCAACATACTTGTTTGAAATATCATTTCAATTTTTCATTTATAGAATTATCTGTCATTTATGAATAACTTTCAGATCTACTTGTAATGCAGAAGGTTTTTTTTAAAGATTATATGTGAAACCCTCGGTTTTCAGTTGAATGTTTTTTGTCAGTATCAAGGCTGTTCTTTTCTTGTATATTTTATTTTCATTCTGCATTTTTTTATATCGGTGTTCTGACAGTTTTATTATATTGTGTGCTTCAGTGTATTTTATGCCTTTAATTGATACACTTGAATTGCGTGTTGGAGTCTCTGAATAACCATTCCGTGTTATATTGACTTACAGTAGGAAAAAGTACAGATTACCCTTCATAAAATGTAGATAAGGATCATTAAGGCAGCATTATATAATACAAACACCTGACCGCAAAACCGAACCTTAATAGCAATATGAATAATACATCAAAATATTATACATAAGAGGTTTAAAATGCATTATAAAGCAATTAAGTAAACAATGGAATAAGTAAAGTCAATAATGGTTTATGTTATGCAACTTTGTATTTGGTACATCTCTAGTACACCGCTATTCTAGATGCAAGAAAGAAACCACATTTGCTGACTTCGGTAGAGAGATTGATGATTAGGCAGATGTTGATTAGATTGCATGAACATTTTTTTTTCGAGTCCATACTTTTTGGACACTTAGTGTTAAAGGAATTGACAAGCCCGTAGCAAAGGCTTATCTCTTAAAGTTCTGGTCTTATTCCTTTGTTTTCCAAAGTTATGAGCTGGTAATACCTTAAAGATTAAAACGTGTGCACATTTTACTCGCCCATTGAATATGATCTTTACTGCTATTAGTTCATGGGTGAAACTTAGTCTTTGCATTTTTCTTCTTGCCAGCAATTTACCACTTACCGAATCTGGTCAAATTCTCTGTAAGGCTTAGAAATGACATAGAAACAGCCAGATTAAAAATCCAGTTTGTAAAAGTTGATACAGCATTTCCCGTACTTCTTGCCCATAAAGGATAAATCTCGGAGTTTATTGTCCATGGCATTGGTCCCATACCTGTAAATATAATGCCTCATAGGTTAAATGCTTATATACATGTGCAATAAACATGCAAAGGGACAAGAGGTAGAATATGTATTGAAAACAGAGGTAAAAAATAACTCATAATAGGGAAATGGAAGATTAGATCTTAATGCATGACGACTTCAGTAATTCGTGTCTTGGTATGGCTATACATTTGGACCTTTTTAGTTATATCAGATATTCAAACTGTTAACTAGATCATTTATTTCTAAATATTCTGGACTCTAGCATTACTAAAGAAACATTGATTGTTGAAATCCGCATCTTGTGCAGTAAAATTTGTACCGTTTAATGTAATCAAAAGTTAGGAAATGTGGTACGATTGTCAATGATACAACTTTTCACAAGAGATCAAATAACGAGGATGTAAACAACTATAAGGCACTGTAGGCCTTCACAAATGAGCAAAACTCATACCGTATAGAAAGCTATGACCGGCCCCGACATGACTAAATGTGAAACAAAAGTGAAAACCATCGGACTGGTTTATGCTTTAAATATTGTCGAAAAAATACATATTACATGGCTTTTTTAGTAATAAAACTAAATCGATATATCAATAGGACACACAACAGCCGAAGTATGAAAACATTTTCAAATATTTTAAAAGTAATCTGCAACACTTGACCCGTCTCTTCAATTATTGACGTTATACATGCATGGTGGCGTCAGACTTTTTCTCTTGTGGCGTCATAAATTTACGAGAAAGACTGGTTATGTCCAATAATGATGGATATGTGAAATAGCGATAAGGTGTATTAAAACCAAAATAGTTTTTAGGGGAACTAACAAACCACAAATACATACAGGAATTACAGGTAGCAATCATCAAAAATCTACCATCATTTGATTTCTATGTTTATGCTTTTTATATCATCAACACATTAAAACCTGTTATAAACAAAAGTGTAAACGTAACGCAAATAAGAATTTCAAAGTAATATTTATCTGTAAAACAAACCTGGGGCAAAAAATATGAGATAAAGTACTAAGCCGATCATAGGCATCCACGAGAAGTCTGTAGGACAAAAATCATACGCCCATGTAAGATCTCCTTTCAGGTCCGTTGTGTTACATCTTCCTCCTGTCGCTACCCATGGGTTATCGTATGTTGTAGGTAAACAGGAACTATTTACAGCAGCATGGCGGACGTCTTGATAGCAGTATCCACAAAACAAGTCTTGCATACAGTCATTGCATGTTCTACAAAATTCAGTTTACAGACCCGTTGGAAAAGTTCAATTGATATTTTTTTTAATATATAGACTTTTATTATAGCACAGTTTTTTAATGTTATTCATTACAATGCCTCGAACATTTTTGCAAGGACAAACGTGATGGAAATGTTTGCTTTTAAGTAAAGCCCGAAATTGTTGTTTCAATATTTCCTAGATGTCCCTAAATCTTTATTGAAAACACACATTATTAGTGAGTCATAAGTGTACTTTTATGTTTTAATACACGTTGGCGTATTTCCAAACATGTGACTACAGTAAAATGTCTAAAGATAGCTAAGAACTGCAATAGTGGTAGCCGTTGGACAATTAGGTATTAATCTTAAAATAGTAAAAAGACATTGTTTATCAAAGTCACTTTTCGATTGAAAGTAAAACGGCATATTGTCTTTTAGATATATATTACATGTGGAGCAGGATCTGCTTACTCTTCTGGAGCACCTGAGATCACCCCTTAGTTTTTGGTGGGGCTCGTGTTGCTTATTCTTTAGTTTTCTATGTCGAGTTTTGCGTACTATTGTGTGTCTGTTTGTCTTTTTCTTTTTTAGCCATGGCGTTGTCAGTTTATTTTCGATTTATGAGTTTGAATGTCCCTCTGGTATCTTTCGCCCCTCTTTTAAATCATTATGATTAAAGGCGTTGAATGTTGCAAATAAAAATAAAAATCAATAGCTGCAATGTGTAGCACTGAATAACATAAATGTTTAAAAAAAAGTATACTGTGAAGACTCTGTTTTATTCTTATTTCCAGTAGTGCCAACAACCTTCCGTTTTTTACCAAACGAGTCAAAAATAATCAGGGGAAATTGTGTCTACCTCTTAAATGGAGATAACTTAAGAAAAAAGTAGATAAAGACCAATTTGGTTTTTGAGTGATTAACATTCTGATAATTGAAATAAATTAAGAAGGAATGTATCTCCTACGTGTATATCTGTAACTTCTTTTCCGACTTTTGCTTTACTTTTTGGTTATTTTCGCTTATATGATTATCAACTCTTCAAATTTTGTATTAGGTTTTTAATTTCAAATCTTTTTGGCTTCGGCCACCGCTGATGAGATATTACTTGTCGAAATGCGCATTTAGTGCATTAATATTGGTACTGTAAATATTTTAAAATTGTAACATTTTGTCTTAATTTTGGTCTGCACCCATTTGATGCACATCAATTCATAACTTTGCACTTCCACTGCATCATTGAAAGTAAAACTAGAATGAAATTTTTTTTTGACGCAATCGGTCCACATGAGACAATTAGGTTTCGAAATAAATGCATACTGACTAAACCACAGTCATAATAATATATATTTAATATTATAATACAGAGCTAACTGTGCTACTTTAGGCAATATACTCCTCGGAAATTATAGGTTTTCAATCTATTCTGTATCAAAAGGTATACAGTCTGCAAGGATCGATGTTCGTTTCAATTATTTCTTTGCACAGCAGACATTTATATTGCTTTTAGTTTTTAAAGGAATAGTCATTCTTATTTCAATTAATTAATTCATCTATTGTTTTCAATTCCTTTTTACATTTGATGTATTCTTCAACTTACTTTGCAATGTTATAACTTAATTATTGAATGTCAGCAGCAACCACTACTATCGAAGGAAAATTTAAATACACGAGGAAAAGTCCATTTGTTTGATTTATAGCCCTGTTTTTGTTGCTTTAACAAACATTATTGTAAACGTTACAATTATTGCCTCGGATAGACTGCCGCTACGTCTGACAAGTGTGAACACCAAAACGTGTGATAATTGTTAAATCTAATTCTGCCATCGATTTAACACTTTTACAAACTAATTGTATATATTAGTGCAAATAAACTCCATCGTACTGTTATTATTGTGTGACGTTTGATGGGAACTGAATCAATGTATCAATTTTCAAGTAAACATGTTTTTTGGTTATTTTCTGTTTGGGATAAACGTATACTAACATACCCTATTATTCGTATTAGAAAAATACGGGTTGACAGGTTTTTCTTAATTTTTCACAAAATACATTTCACAAGATATTTTTTAAAGTATTAGGTCTAACATGGGAGTCTGATGTTAAAATTTCAGGAAACGTAGTAAATACATTAATATTATTCAAATTTGGCTTCTGTCTATCACAAACATAAAGAAATTGTTCAAGATTCTTTCTTCAATGTGCATGACCTTGAATAAATCACATTGTCATTGCTTAAAAAAATAAAAATGAAACTTTTGAAAAGAGTAAAATAAAACTAAATAAGGATAATCATCAGAAAAATTACCGACATTGCTAGTTGTTTCTGTTCAATTTTTTGTTTTTGTTTTCTCATCACTGCAAGTGTTTTTCCCTACTATATTCAGCTATACTAAGTAATAAAAACGATTTCAAGCCACTATTTGTGAAGTGCATTTTTATCAATGTGTTATACAATTCGGATATGTATCTTTTGTTCCTCCGTGAAATTTGAGCACTAGATAAAAAAGAACTCGTCAAAGATACAAGGCTAATTTTGTACGCCAAACGCGAAAAAGTTAATCTCCATTAAAGGGTTTGCATAAGTCTTTCAAACACGTTTTAATTTCTAACGAGTTTATCGTCAAAATATACGTACTTATATGTTGAACAAGGTGTCCCTCTCGCAGAATGCTCTACCATTGATATTCCTGGAGTATGAAGAGCAGATAAATGAAATCCTACTGCAAGCCATGCTAAACTTACCACAGCACCTGGAATTACAATATATAATGTTATGAGAGAGTCTACACAAAAGACCTTTGTTAAAAAATAATTATTGACAGGACTGTTTCTTCAAAAGAACTACTACATTGTAGTATGAATTAAAAGAGAGGAGAAAGATAATACCAAAGGGACATTCAAACTCATAAGTCGAAAATAAACTGACAAAGCCATGGCTAAAAAAGAAAAGACCAACAGACAAAAAATAGTACACAAAACACAACATAGAAAACTAAAGATTGATATATATATATATAGTTTTACAAATATAACACAGCGGTACTATCTGTTAAACTTCAACTCCACTAAAGAAAGTTTTATTTTCATAACTTAGTTGGGATAAATTTCTAGGCGCTGGGTTCAGTGCAGGCGGTGTTGCTTCGATACATGGTCCAAGAAACGACAAAAACAATTTCTGAAATTTTTTAGCTTTAATCGCGATATTGTTATAGTAACACAAATTAATATCGTACTATTATACCAATTTTTTCTTCGATAAAGCTTTCATGTTTGTGCAATGAACAAATTTTAGATAAGTTTGAAGAACTGCAGCCACGTTGTAAAAGACACAAAATACCTAATGAACAATAAAAAAATCATTAATCGAAAAATAACAGACAATGGCATAACTAAAAATGAAAAACGACGAAAAGAAAAACAGTATTCTACAAAACTATCAACAGAAAACAAAAGATGAGGAACACGAGCCCAACCTTAAACCGGGAGTGAACTGAGAAACTCTCAGAAGCAGAGTAATCTGATCCTCCTCTACTAGTGACAACTACCTTCGTTCTCTTGTTTAAATACGTGAATGAGTCATATCAGGTAAATTTGCATCTTATAATAGCATATTAGTGAATGTCTATTGTATAGCCCTAAAATATCACCATTTCATAAACATATCCACAAAAGATAATTCTCTAACCATAAACGTGACTGAATATGACATGAAATGAAACACGGTTTTAGGTCAGACGACAGACAAGAATGGAGTTTTGATCTTAAAGTTTTTGCTCTACACGATCCGCTTAATACCAGAAATACTGTTGCGTTGTTTCTTGCACACGGATTACGTATAATGTAGGTATCCTTTTCGAGGTGACAGGATTTCATTTAAGTCTTAATACTTTAGGTATTTATAACTTCGAATAAATGTTATTTCAAAAGGTTAACTTCTCGATGCACAGTTGTTTTTTCTTTGGTGTCATTTTTACGAGTTATTTTTGGTTTATTTCTCTCTTACTTTAAGCGTCACTGATGAGTCTTTTGTAGACGAAACGCGCGTCTGGCGTAAAAAATGTAATTCTGGTATCTATGATGAGTTTATTTAGAAACTCATTGCAGTTTTATTATAAAATACAGCCTAAATGAATTGATGTTTTTAATATCAAATGACCGGCAGTATTAGTAGAAGGTTTACTACAGATTTTCATGTTAAAAAAAATGAAATGGTGATTAACAAATAAAGATTCTCATTACAATATGTTTATCAAATGAGTGACTGTAATTGGTTGTTCTGCCGTTTATTACGGAAAGTAGTTTTACTTTTCAACTAGTGTACATTATTTTATCTTTACTTACATAAATGAAACCTTAAATAAAAAAACTTAACGAATCTTACTTAAATATCAGTTTGCTTTTCAATTAGTTTCCTAAATGTTATAAATATTGATACCATTCTTTTCATTACCGTAGCTCTGCAGAGACCAGCAATCATTTGGAAAAATCAAAACTAGTATTTTGCGTTTTTATCCAGCGTCATATTTGCTGTAAGCTTTTCACACATTATTACACTTATTACTTTGTACATATTATTGTTGTTTTTTCTCTCCAATTTTAGCAATTGCAACCATGTCTGTTCGAAGACGGTATTATCTGACATAACATTTAAACAGAACCATTAAAACATTATGCAGGTCAAGTTAATTCCCGATTGTTCAAATAGTTTCAATAAAGATGCTTTTTAAAAACAGTTTACAATACAAAACAATGACAGAACTAAATTGATGAAGCTTACTTCACATACAAAACTGCTGTAAAGATTTCCTTGAAAACATAAATAATGCAATTGTTTCTAGTGAATTCATCAAATTTTAAGTACTAGTAATAATAATCGATAATGGCCTACATCCTTCCCATTTAACAACATTTGACATATCACGAAAATACTTCACTACCTATTAAGCTGCTTATAGTTAATGCACGTCTTCCAATTCGTTCTACTAAATAAAGTCCAAGGACATTAAACAGGAAATTGATTGCCGCCATGACTGCTGAAAGTAATATCGCCGTCTGGTCATTTTTTACACCTGCCATATGGATTATAGTTGCAGTATAATACCTAAAATAAAAATAATAGGATCTCTTTGTGATATCATTATCTTATTAGTAAACCGTTTAACAAATATCACAACATTTATCACGCAAATACAGCATTGGAATGTATATAGGAATAATTTCCTTGCAGTTAACAGGGATATTTCCTTTCACAATGATTTTGTTCTAAAACTTTTAAGAAAACATTTGCATGTCTTTCTGTGTCTTGAAAAGTTAAAATCTAAAAATGTAAGCAATTTAATTATTCTAGTTTTGTTAACGGGACATAAAAACAAAAATCGTAAGTCATACATAATTGTATTTTGCATGTGCTTTTCATGGTTAATAACAATCAACTTTATTTGAATTAATGCTGGTTCTTCCGAAAATAGCCTTTTCTGTAGAAGCGTACTCGCGGATTCAACCCCAAGGTTATACCTACAATAACTACTTTACGTCAAACGTGAACTCTAGAAGTCTACGAACTTGAATGTCGGATTTGACAGAAGACTGGTTACTCAAGTCAACAAAAAAGTAAATATCGAGATATGTTTATTGCAAAGGAAGAAATTTTTCACAAATAAAAATCGAGATATGTTTATTCCTAAGGAAGACATTTTCCGCTGTGATTCCTTTAAGAAAATATGTTAATTCATACAATCTCAAAGAAGATATCAATGTCTTCAATATAAACTCCTCTAAGTGTCCATTAATGTTAAAGACGACCTGGCGTTTTCCTTTCGTGTGTCATGTTTATACTCAATTAAAAGAATTTATCTATTGGTTTTTTTATATTTCATATTTGTACGAAACGGACATACTGCACTTTTAACCTCCTACAACGAACAAGCTATTTCAAAATATAGACACTAGATAGATGATTCTATTCAGATTAATATGAAAAACCTGGTTTTATTGAAGAGCATTGCAAGTTCATTTCCATGTTGCCGCTGTGTTATCAAAGACAACACAAACCTTTTAAACAATAAATTACGATGGACATATCAAATTCAATATGAATACTAGTAAATGAAATGATAGGTAAAAGTAAATTAATGAAACAGCAGCACAATTTAACCAAAAGAAAACCTTTGTCAACAAAACGTCAACAATAATACAGGTTCATAGATATTGTGGATTCTTTTTTTGTTTTGTTTAACCATTTGTTGTTTATTAAAGAAAGACTGAATTTTGGTATTTACTTGATTTTTTGGTTTTAACATGTTTAACTTCAGTTTACTAGCCTTTACAAAATTTCTATTTTGTTGAATAATTGAGATTGTTTGCTTGTCATCTTTCAAGTTTTCCTCTTCATATTTTGTAATCTTTCTGGGTTTCCCCTATGTTAGTATGCATAAACACATTTTTTGCCCAGCAATTCCTATATTTTCAAATATTTGTTTTAAACCCTGTCTAAAATACCTTTCTGGTACAATATCTTTAAATTTAGGATTTTCAATATATCTTTCCATATAGGTTTTTTACCATTGATTTGAGGGTAAATCCATAAAAGCGTTCCTGACGCATCAGACTTGTAAACTGTTTTTTTTCTCTCTTCAAATGCAATTAAAAATATAAAAAGATCTACCTAAAATACCAATAAATGTTAGTACTTGTTAGACAGTTATATAATAAAATATAGTTGAATGGCACATGAAAATTGACATTTTAGCCATAATTATGTCTGTTTTATGACTTGATTCTTCAGAACTGCTTTCCATAAGCTATAATGCGACCATGATTGATGTAGTTATATGCATTTTTATTGTTATTCCGCGAAAAACTTGGAATATCTCGCTATAAAGATATAGCCGTAATCTAATTTGACATTACTGCATCTTATTTAAAGCTATTAATTTGAAATTTGATTGATTATAAAACAACCACAAAAGTAATAAAAGCCAGTCTGCTTTGCTTTACCTATATATACTTTATGCTCGATACGTGATGCTTTAAAACATTACATTTGACTGCACGAAATACCTTATAAAAGTGCATTGTAGGATTAGATCCAACTAGTGAGGACTCAGAAATTAATTAATTTGAAATAAATATTTTTGCTATCCATTTAATAATAATAATAAAAATAATAATATTAATAATAATAAGAATAATTATTATAATAATAACAATAATTATTATTATTATTATTATTATTATTATTATTATTATTATTATTATTATTATTATTATGAAAACTAATTATGTCTATATTGGTGCGGTTTTATGAGTTCGTAAAAGTGTAAATACTATATGTAAAATATTTTTAAAAGCTGTATTGTATGGATATTGCAATCTACAAAGTTGCTCCATCATTTTCCTGATTGGAGAGGTACGAGTTTTAATGGTAGTTTTATTAATTTCTCCTTCCACTTATATGCATTTAAAACAAAGAACACCCTTGGTTGCCCCTTGGTAGCCTCTTAAAATACCCCATGGCATCTTCTTAGATTGTCCCAATGGTATCTTCTAATATTGCTTCTTGATATCAGACTATCTTCTTACCTCCTTTTATTTATTTAGAAATAATAAGAAGCAAATTTTGAATTCCAACCATCGCCACCTTTTCTTTTTAAGTTAACAGATTGCTACACACATTTTATATTTTTTTTTAAATACATTTGTATATACGTACATTACCGTGTTGATTCCTGATAGTTGTTGAAACATTTGCAAACTACAACCAACAAGTAGTGCTCTTCTCACACACGGAGTCTGTAACATTTGTATAAATATGGGCTTGTTAGCTGAAATAAAAAAAAATATTTTCTGGAATTTTGGATTGAATTTCTTTCAATTGACCTCCTTTTTAAGCAATAAATGTTTTCTCTCCTAAATGTGCACTTCCTCACCTTAATTAAAAGATCTTATTACATCTTCATATAAAAAAAAATATTCCGTTTATAACAATGGTAAACGCAGGCACCATTTCCAGTCCCTGGTCGAGAAAAAACCGTAATTTGTTATGGGTTAAGGTAAGACGTGTACAAATCTTCTAATGTGTGATATTCATCATCGGATATTGTTCATTAACGGACTTAAAAGGGAGTAACACGACGGGTGTCACTAATTGAGCATAAATTGTTGACCCTCCCGGAGCACGTGTGTTCTGCTCCGGGTTTTGATGTGGTTAATGTTGTTCAATCTTTAGTTTCTGTGTAGTGTTTTGTGAACCGCTGTTGGTCTGTTGGTCTTTATTTTTGCCATGGTGTTGTCTTTTTTTTCTTATAATTATGATTGCCCCTCGGTATCTTCTCTTTTTGTGTTCGGATCTATACTAATTCAAGTAATATGTACACTGCAGTAAAATCTTTTGAACGCCAACATATCTGATGAGTTAAGCCTTTTTCAACTGATTTTTATAGTTTGTTCTTATATTGTACTGTTACACCGCTGTCCAAGGTTAGGGGAGGATTGGGCGCCCGTTAACATGTTTAACTCCGCCACATTTTGTATGTGCCTGTCCCAAGTCAGGAGCCTGTAATTCAGTGGTTATCGTTTGTTTCTGTGTATCATATTTGTTTTGCGTTCATTATTTTGTACATACATTAGGCCGTTAGTTTTCTCGTTTGAATTGTTTTACATTTGTCATTTCGGGGCCGTTTATAGCTGACTATGCGGTATGAGTTTTGCTCATTATTGAAGGCCTTACGATGACCTATATTTATTAATTTCTGAACCATTTGGTCTCTTGTGGAGATTTGACTTATTGGCAATCATACCACATCTCATTTTTATATATATTCTGTTTAGTGTATTGATCTTCCAACAGACAAACGGTATCATATAAGTTACTTATTGTGCGTCACTGCTGGTCGACTTATACTCGTAATCATATACATGTTTTTGCATAGTTTGTACGAACATATATGCAAGACAAGTGAACGAAACGAACATCAAAATGGTTGAATTTCACTTTCTGATACACTGATAGTGTCACTTCACACATTTTTTTAAGTCAACACTGATACCTCATTTATAAAAAGTAAAACAACTCCAAGGAAAATTCAAACCGGAACGTTCCTTATCAAATGGCAAAATCAAAAGCTCAAACATGTCAAACGAATAGAAAACAACTGTCATATTCCTGACTTGGAACAGGCATTTCATTAGGTAGAAAATGGTAGATTAAACCTGGGTTTATACCTAGCTAAACCTCTCACTTGTATGACAGTCGCATATAATTCCATTATATTGACAACAATGTGTGAACAAAAAAAAACAGACATAATAGGAAAAAATGTCAAAAATAGGGGTGCAGCAGTCAGCAATGTGTTATAATCTTAATCACTATAAAAACAAACAAATATGTCAACAAAGAAAATCAAAATCACATATAGACAAGGCACATAAGCAAAAATAAATGACAAGAGTACAAAAAATGACCATAGCACAATACCACAATCGCAGGATGTATAAGAACCGAGCCACGCCAAAAGGATATTACCAACAATGAACTAAACAGGAAAGGTTGATAATTTCTAAAGACAAATAAAAGAACACTATAATATTGCAGTAAACTTGATATGAAAAATGCTACAGATGTGTGCTTCATAACTAGATTTTTTTATAACTGCTCCTGATTGGAGAGGTAACAAGTTTTATTATTATACTTCACGTAAAAATGCAATATTTTGATTGGCTTATACGAGGGTGTTAATTTACTCTATTCTATGGTAAATTCTCTATTACCCTTCACGGAGACGCTTGATCAAGTGTGCGCTTTACTAAATACGACTCTATCCTTTGGCAAATACTCTATTACCCTTCACGGAGACGCTTGATCAAGTGTGCGCTTTATTAAATACGGATGGTTGTTATGTACAAGACGTCATAGTTTATTACTTTGAATTTTAAATTTAATCGACAGTAATAACAGAACATTCAGTATAATAAATTAAATAACACATATCTGAGAGGGTGATAGAGCAGATTGTTACCCCTCGAAAAGACATTGTCAACCTTGGCTTCGCCTCAGTTGACAATGTTTTCTCGGGGTAACAATCTGCTCTATCACCCTCTCAGCTATGTGTTATTTATATAATGGTAGTTTTATTAATTTCTATATCCACTTATATACTCATTTACAGTGCATTTAAATATACAACTTATATCTTTAAATGTTTTACATGATAGTCTTTACAATGTTGCCTACTCATATCCGCGACAACAACTTTTTTATAACTGCTCGAAATACCTTATAACGTTTACTAGTTAAAATCGACGCTGAGTGGGAACTCACAACTTGGATATATTATAATATGAAATTACGAAGATGCGGTATAATTGTCAACGAGACAACTATCCACCAGCAGAGACCAAAGGTCCAAACTCTTTCATAGATCCCATATATCCATTTTTCCCCATCTTACATTAATACCAGTTTTGTCATTTTCCTTAAAATTACTTTTGAACATAGCTTTAGACTTGTCTGATGAGTGATGTATGTATAGCAGATGTTAACAAAGTCAACGCACTTGGTGTAACTCTGTATGTAATTCACCCCTTCGGTGGTCTCGTGATCGCCTGCAGTTTGGATGGTCGTGTGTTTGATCACTGACTGAGTCAAACAAAGACTTTAAATTGGTATTTGTTCATTCTCCGTCAAGCACGCGGCAATTTAGGGTATGGCCAAAGACTAGTTAAATTGGAGTCAGAATAATGTGTCCGGGTAGCGTGACAGATTTACACTTCTTCAAATGCTATCAAACATCATCTCTAATCCAAGAATCATGACGAAGCAAATGAATGCCCAATATTGGTTTTGTTAAATATATAAATTGACGACGGCAGCTGGTAAGTGTATAACAACAAGAACATTATTGAAAAGGACAATTAGGATTTGGCGGAAATGAATATAATTTATTTTCGAAGTCGTGTAGGTTTGTTGTTATTCTAAATCAAGATACAACCTTAAGGATAAATTGCAATGAATAGATACTGGGATTGACTAATAGTTGGATTTAAACTTATTCAGAAGACAATTTCAGATAACTGGGAACTTTTAATTGAACTTCCGATGTGTACATTAACTATGCGATATATATTGGGGCACAAAGGTCGAAGTAATTCAAAATGAAAATCAACACAGTAAACTAGACTTACAAAAGACGTGCAATTGTTAAATTAACTGGCTTTTTTACAGTCTTAAATGTGATGCTGTAATAAAAAAGCAACTTGTTTAAATTACTATTTTTTAGTAATCCATCAAACTTATATGAATCAAATTTATTGTGAATGGATGAGGAAAGTTTCTATGAATATTGGCATCGACAATCCAACCAATGTTTGATTTAGCAGTTATTTCATAGTAACCATATCCTTTATGAAACATGGCTTTTCAACTGATTGGAGCATCAATTCTGTATTAATATTAAATACTCCGAACAGCCGATCTACTTGATAATAACAACACAAAATGTGTTCCTACTGCCCCTTTGTGAAAGCTATGAAAATCGAGAAAAATTGCTGGTGCTACTACAAGAGCAAAACTGCTAACCCTTCTATAGCACATAAGTTCAACCCTAATCTTCGGTATGGTGTGTGTTCCCTAATATACTGTCGTTTATTTTTCCGGTAACTATCTTTTTGCAATATGGCGGTATCTGATTTTCTTTCACTCTTTTGTATAGCTCCGTGTATGTTTTTGCTGTTTTTATGAATTTGTCTCGCAAAAATAATTAGTTGTGAAGTGGAATGGACCTTATTTTTAAAAATGCACCCAAAATCGAAATTGAAAGTATCCATTTAGTGACGGAGAGACCAACTTATTGCTGTTGTATAACTTAATGGACAATGAAATAATATGAAAAACGACAATGGCAATCATTTAAGTGTCATATTTAGCTTTGTAAATGATGACGCCATATTTAGTGAAAAGGTCACTTTCTTAAACGTGCCTTCCTACACTGTGTGATGCGGGAATTTCAAAGTTCATTTCTTGTTTTCATATAGAATATTAGATTGTGGTCATATAAAGCTTCAATCTAGCAGTTCTTATCATCTGTTAAAAACCAAAAGATTGACGGATGTACGCGCAATGTCTTCATGTTAAAGAAAGTTGGGTTGAGGAAGAAAACTTCATAAAGCTAAAAAGCTAAAAAGGTTAAAGAGAAGAACATACCAAGGTTGAAATCACGAATAATGCAACTACTTGAGTATCGGAATAATAAGAATTCCCATTCTGATATGAAATACATATATATATGTTTGTGGCTTTTCCAAACATCGCAATAATTAAACTCGCATGTTTGTTAATTCTTCAAAAATCGCAATAATAAATGCATGCAATAATTTCTGAATTTACAGTAATAGACAATTCGACATTACCCAATTTTTTGTTAAAAAGCATTGAAGAAAAGGAGTTCATCATATTTAAAACCAACCATTAGCGCATGCTCAATACAATCCGATTGCAAACAATACCACAATACTAGTTTATCACTCTACAACAATACCAATTTAGTCATTCTGATAAAGCGTTGATGTAAATCATAAAAAAAGATACCACATTTACGAATAATGATTTAAATAATAGACACATAGATTTCAGGGTAAACAGTTGCTGCCTTTGGAGTCACACAAAAAGGAATCTTTTTAAAAATCAAAGAAACTTCCAATCAATTCAGATTGTCCAAAATATCCAAAATTTAACAATGCTTTCACACAGAGCACTGTAATCAGTTCACGTATCATTCTATGACTGGACTTCAGATTGCAGCATCCGTACCCGGATTTCGCACAAATCATCTTCATTAAAAGGCCATTGATATCCAAATTTAACTGAGAAGACGTTTTAATTCTTACAGTTACTTTTGCTCGCCTTACCACTATTTGTTTACTTACAGGGTTGTTGCTCGTTGTCCTCTGTTCTAAAGCTACTCTTGATAGCTTGAAATTCTTCCTCGATGTCAAGTTGACCTCTCATGCTCTGTAAAACCCTTCTGGCTTTCTCTTCATATTTATTTTTAATTAGCCAACGAGGACTCTCAGGCATGAACACGAAGCCAAGGAACTGAATAAAAGATGGTATTCCAGCAAGTCCTAGCATGTACCTAAATCAAATGATAAAATAATTGAGATTTTGTTTGCACTTGCAGCATCAATAAGGCTGTCTGGAACAGAGCAGTCTAGTCTACAGTCAGTATATATACTAAATTTATACACCTTATTGTTATCTGTCGCTATTTTTGGACATAACACATAGTCCAGTAAATGTTTGAGGACACAAAAAAAACTGTAGGACACCACAAATCAAAAGTTATTGTTGGAAGACGTCGAAAGTACAAGTTTCTCAACATTTCAGGTCAGGTGAAGAAGATTCAAAAATATTTTAATGTAGTTATCTAAACAAATTTACGGAGCTTAATTATCATAGTTGCAATTTTACCCGATGTGGCTGCGTTTTTATAAAATTCCGGCATAACAAACAGATGCCCTACTCCTTGTAATTGCAATTATCTATATATGTACCAGCCAACTCTCTCCCTATGTATACACCTCAAACTGCGATGATATCGAGAAAATTTATACAATTACAAAAACAAGTATCTTTTTTGACCGTATTTGCTGAGTATTGTCATAGTCATTAATAACTACATTATAATGATAATTTATGGCTATTGTATGTGTGCAATTTCCCCTCCCCTGCTAAGATCCTTGGGATGTAGAGGCCAAATCTTAAGCAATGCAGAATTCTTATGTTTTCAAACATGTTTGAGCATGCAATATGTATCCTTCATAAGTTCTATAACCACTTTACATTTCCGATGTAAAATACGACGGGTTTTGAATATTGGTCTTCAATACGGTTTCTTCAATTTCGTTTGGAATTTCTTTTGTTTTCCTGACCGTTCATTCAATCATGTTCATGTTATTAACATTATGCCAATGTGCACATCTAAAGGTGATGAGACCAATTCATAAGCCTGTATTTGGAAACAATTGCCACAATTATCATGTTTATCCAAACGATGCATACAATTGTCGTCGATAGAGGATATATAACAGTTGTTTTGTGTTAAATATATAAAATGATATTTCCGTATGTCTAGGTTCCTTTTGAATAATGCACAGGCAACGTGTAGGTGTAGACATCTTCTTTTTGTAATATGATTTATAACTGTAACCGTTTTTTTTCTGATTCTCATTAGGTATTCAGAAAATTAAGAGATCGGAGCATCATTCTAAACTGGCCATTGCCATTTTTCATTGGAAATTTAGTTATTTAATTCGTTTTCTTTAATACTTCAATGTTGTGACCGACCATTAACCCGTGTCCATCATATTAACTGCTATCAGTATTCACAACAGAAGGTGATAATACAAATTCGTATGTATATATCTGGTAATAATTGCCATAATCATTATTGTCTATCTCTAAAGTGAATTACATTGTCATTAAATTGAGCTTAATCTGATTATATGATCTTATATGTATTAAATATAAGATGATATTTCCGTACGTCTGGCCTTCTTCTTATAATCATTGTATATGAAAAGGTCAAACGTAACATGTTGCAAAAGCCATATTGATAAAATATATCTTTTTATGTCAAATGACATTTTATATAAACACGTGTTACCATTGAAGAGCGTACAACAAAAGAGATTCTTGAATTTTCTGCATCAAGTAAGCTTGAGATCAAACGTTTGCAAAGCAAAATACTTGCATATAAATCAAAACACAAATGAAAATTATGCAACATAGGCCTGAACAGAAAAATTAGCAAGTTCCAACCACAGTTTTCGTAAAATAACATAATTTTCAACTGCAAATTTAAGTCGATTAGGATGATTTAAATTATGGTAATTCCAAAGCTGGCTACTGAGTGGTTTGTACCATTTTAGACTGGCAGACCACCAGAAATGGCACCGACCCAGTGGAATAAGTATAATATTTTAACTGATAGCAAAAAAAAAAAATTAGCAGAATAAATGTTAAATTTTCAAAAATATAGATTATATCATAAAGAATATAAAGAAAGAAGAAAAATGGATAAAAAATCTGATAAATAATAAATCGCGAAATCAAAACTACTGAAGGATTGTTTTTGTCCCTTTGTGTCGTTCTCAGAAACATGTGTGGCTAGACTCTCTCAAATAAATACTAGTGTTATAAAATGCCATACAATATTGTAATAAAATTGACATATGAATATGACAGGTTCATTAGAACAAAAAGATATTGTATATAAATCATTGTTTCTACAGACGGAATAAAATAAAAATAAAAAACACATCTGGTGAGTTGCAAACATCCGTTTTAATAATACCTGATCATAATACGTACCGCCATCCATTTAGTTTATCCGGACTAAAAATCCAATCAACAAGATTTGCAATAAATTGTCCAAACGCTACCATTGCAATATTTGTGGATACGATTCTTCCACGCACATGAGATGGGGCACATTCCGCTAGGTACATTGGTATCGTTGTTGATGTTAAACCTGAAATATGACATAAGTCTGCATTAAAGTGGCAAAACTGAGCAAAACGAAGTACTACTATAAAGTCCGTAGTTAGATATATAGTATTGGGTTTCAATCTCATTCTATTGCCATTTATACTCTACTTTTGGCAGTTCCCCTTCCCTTGCTTTAGAGACATGAACGAAGATGACATATTAACTGAAAGTTACTGACCATTAAGCTTACGACAGGTGCCATTAGTGGCACAGGACCTGCTTACCCTTCCGGGGGCATCGTAGTTTACCCCTTTTCCTTTTTAACGGGGTTTGTGTTGCTCAATTTTTAATTTTCTGTGAAATATTTGCTGGACTATTGTTTATTCTCTTTTTTCTTTTTGCCCCGGTATTGACCGAAAATGACAAATGACGATATATGTAATATCGATATAAGGATAAATACATAGTGTATGGTAACACGATCACTGGCGCATTACTACTTCACAATTCATGTTTTCTTTCTCCGCCATTCGAGCAAAAGCTATGTAGAATTCTCCGGAAATATTTTAGTAACTGGGAGTAGTAAATATTTAATTTAGCGTATAATTTAATTATGAATTATAATAGCATCCACAATGTAGGTGCATAATCGTAAAAATTGTTATAACAAAAGTATTGAAGTATAAAGTAACCGTTATATATAGTCCCTTTTTTCTGATTAATAAAATCTTTAAAATAATCTACATGTTACATTTTATTCTAATTATGTAGCCCTCAAGTATTTAAGAACACGGACCTTTCTGATTTTGCTTGAGTGTCCTTACTGGTTTTGTAAAAGATAAAATCATAAGAACCGCCTTAACAACAATAAGAGAAATATTTCTAAAAATAAAGCAACAGGCATTGAACATTAAAAAATAAAAAAAAAATGATGGAGATATAAGCAAAAAGCTGTTTGAAGGAAGTTCAAATGCAAATACAGTAAGAGTTTATTAACGTTATCTGTTAAATCTCAATATCATACATGGACGAATAGACCTCCTACTGTAAACTGCAATTTATGACTATTCAAACTAATGAAGAGTTGGGAAGATGAGTGGATTATCTGAAACGTTTTCTTTCGCACACCTAACTCTGTAGATAATAATAAATTCGTCGCCTTATATATATTGTGTTACTACAAATAACTGTTCTTACATATGATGAAAGTTTGATTAAGTAAAAATGTCGTTCTTGTCATGTGAAAAATGGAGAAACATGTTCCAGCAATTCCACAGAGAATTTCTAAGGCGATGTTTTATATGTATATGCACGAATCCTCGATTTGATACAACTATGTTTAGGGAGAGATATTATCTGTTGGCACAAATACAAATGTTTGTCGAATCAAACATCCCCATGGGAACCAAATTGCTTGTTGTAAAGAATGAACTACAATAAAGTTCATCAATCTAAAAGTACGTCACGACAATCGACACAAAAAACAAAGCAAAGGCTGTTGAATTAATGAGTTTTGCAAATGAGTATTCTAAATAACTATAAATGTACCTATCTATATATATATATCATAAAAGATGTTTAACATGTTTTAATGGAGATATAATACCATGCGCAATAAGTTCTGTAATTATCCGTTAAAACTGTTGCCATAAATTATAAAAGTCTTTTTAAAATACTTATAAATCGTATTGGTATGATAAACTACTTTGATTAGTTGTATAAAAATATTAGAATAACTAGAGAGGTCAAGGTTTGTATTTAACTTCATACTTTTGAAATTGTTATAGCACTAACGGTACCATTTTACTAAAAAAGATGCGCCTGTCGACAATAAATATTTCTTCAGTGATGCTCGAGGCCAAACTATTTGAAAATCTTAATACTCATTCAAAAAATGAAGAGCTTATAAACCAAAAAGGACAAAAAGTATAGCCAAAGCCGGGCAAATAATTAGAGCTTTGCACGAAGGAGATATTTTCCCCTTAATTTAAAATAATAAAATTATGTTACAGCAAATTTTGATAAAACAATATCCTCATTTTAATGCCAGTACCGAAGAATTATTAAATCATAACATTATGTATTACGTTCAGAGATTTATATTGTATAACTTTGGAATACGAATTCTTTTTTCGATAATTTGAAGAAAAAAAATGAGAACCACTAAAATGTCATGAAGATACTGATTTTCGTTGTTTTACAAAATGTTATGGATGTCCTCCCACGCTTGAAAACCACAAAACTCATTTTGCGGTTTATACTGACAATTCTCATTATCGAGAAAACTATTGTTCCAGGCAATCATTGGGTGATGAGGATTTCATGAAAGAATAACCTAAAATTTTTGTCGTGTTGATTCCGTTTGATTTTGAAAAAAATCTCTTCAGATATTACGTAATCGTGATGCTAGTATAGAAAATAACATTAGTTCAAATTATTTTTTCTAAATATCGACGTTTTAAGATCAACAAGGTGATAATGGAAAATTATTTAAAGAACTTTCCTATAATAAGGACAAAATGGAAGCATATCACCGTTTTGGTCCTTTTGTTTGATTTTTATCTCAGTCTATATATAAATATAAATGGCATCTAACAAGGTGAGCACAGACATTAATAAAAAAATAGGTTTGCAAATATTTCAAAATATGCCAGACAAAAACATTTTTGGACTGAATCTTCATTTCCACCCATGCAATTCTCGATTCTGTATACTCCCTGGAATAAAATGTGGCATACAATAATGCTATTGCCAGAATTCCTAGTTAAGCAAGTAAGTTATATGGGTGATTTAAAGGATAATGAAATGTTTTGAATAATTTGATGGTAAATGACATTTAGTTTTTCCCTCTGCCTTCTCGATCAATTTTTGACTGATTTATCAGTAAGCCATTAATTTTTGCAATTAACCTTTAAATATTCTAGTTTGTATTCATTGATATAACTGTAAATAACACTTCTTCCAATCCTAAAGCAGATTGAATCCAAATCCATTATGTAATGGGAAAGAAATTTAAAAAGCAGATTGAATCCAAATTCATTATATAATTTGAAAGGAATTTAATACCATTCCAAGCGAAGACTCTTTGCATTCGTAAACACCATTAACCTTTAACCTAATTTGTTCTTCCGCTGAGTAAATGCTTAAATGATGCCTTTTATTCTGAAATGACATTACCAGAATGCGCTGATTTCCTTAATGTACCTTCATGAAAATAAAAACTAGAACAAGTTGTCATGACTACCACTTAATACAAGCTTCTGCATACAAATTCTCCGTTAGAATGATTCCAAAAGCATACACACCAAAGAATATTTTTTTTATTCATCATCAATATTGCACATGCTGTTAACAGATTTCTTCACTGGTACAGCTTTTCAGTGGAGATCCCTGTACATTAGTTATAAGTACATAAAGACCAGGGTATCTTCAGGTATATATTTATAATTTTGTTAGTATATACATTATTTATCATTAATATATTATTTCTCTATTATCTTACTATTATAACTCTAAATATGAACTTTATATAAAAAAAAACAGTAACCCTTAATATATCATTGTTAACTATCTGATAGATGATGAGAGTAAAAAATAATAACGGGTTATAGTAGCATTTTCGGAATTTGGTTTGTGGTTTAGAAGAAATTATCAAACTTCTGGATGTTTGTCTTGACAACATACCCCTGTATGTTGAATTTGGTGGATTGATATTTCAACAGTCAGTTCCAATTCTATTGGTTAACAACTGTTCTCACACCCAGGTGATATATTTTTTTTATTCCAGCCTTAGAATGCCATCAAAAATTTTTACATTGGACTTTAACCAATCAAAACTATATTTATATTTCCTTACTGCTGTATTTTAACCTATGTTTTAAGAATGCCATTGAATAAAAAAAAAATCGGTGATTCTTTCTACAAGTTAGTTTTATAATAATTTTATGCACCAATATTCAAAAATGTTTCTTATTGCGTAAATTGCTCGACGCTAAATATGTGATATCCTAACTATTTTCTATATGTTTTTCCCAGCAACATATGGTTAATGTTTAAAGACAATTACCAACGGGTTATTTTATTGTAATAGCAAATACTCTAATCAATTCAATGAAAAAACATAACATCCTTCTATAAATGGTTAAGGTGGAATATCAATACTCCTTTATGAACAAGTGCATACTTACGAGTTGTAATTTTACAATACAAGTGTCAATACTATTTGATTAACAATTACATCAGCATGTTCAAAGCCAATACTGGCATTAATGTGAGATGAAGCCAACATGATACTATTTAAGTCTTACATTACACAAGCTTAATAGTAAATTAACGCTAACATCATTCCTTTCAAGCTTGGGTTATTCGTCAATAACTAGGTTTCCAACTGGCTCAGAAAGTGTTTATTTTCAAAAGAGTTTATATAAGGAGTTTAAACAAGACAAGGTTGACTGTAAGCCTGCCTTGTCAAAACAATCCGTCGAAGATCGGAAAACTGGAGATTATTCTTGTTTATTGTTAAATGGACATAATTTATATATCAATATATTGTATTTTTTAAAACTTGAAATAACTTTGAAAGTTATAGAATTTAACAGCCAATTACATACCAACTAAACAGAAGAGGGTGAAACGGGAATGATCATGTCACAAATTCTGCTTTTTCGTAATTATTTCCCATTTCCAACTTTTCCCCAGATCCCACTTCTATTTAACCCCTACATCCCTCATCCCCACTTATCTATCCCTTATATCCTACATTCCAAACGCGTGTCACCCTAAAAAATAACTTGAGACGAACGTAAATGCTTGAAAATACCCTTTCGGGTTGTAACATTTAATCGACGACACGATTTCCTACAGCTTTGGATTTCTAAATTTATGCCTCGAGTGTACCTAGTGAAGGTTATCCAAGAAACTAATGTCGTGCGCACACAAATCGGTATCATATGTTTTTTTTATATCCCAATTGATAAGAGTGAGAATTTTTCCTCGTCTGACATAGTCAACCTTGGTACATCATCAATACATATTGAATCTTTC